GACCCCAGACTGGTTGCTCTCGATGATGACTGTGTCTCGGAAGACAGTAGGGGCCCGACAGGGACCCCCGATCAGGCCCCTTCCCCTGGCTCGGAGACCAACCATGGGACGGTTGGTGTCGGAGGCAGCGGCAGGGCAGGGTCCTGCATCGCTGCGCGCGGCGATTTTCCAGGTAGAAGCTGTACAGAGTCTTTTCCGGCAGCAGCTTTTTCCGGCCAGGATTCTCCCTATAGGTCCCCCCCTAAAGGTTTAGACCTCTCTCCCTGCCAGGCTAAGGCATCTGTGCAGGTTCTGCAGGGTCTTGATGGCCTTATGCAACATAACAGGCCCCCCTATAACCCGTGTAGCCATAGGCAGGCTACTCGTGCACCGGGCCAGGACAGCTCCTCTGATGGGTTCACCCCTTTCAGTTTAGGAGCTGAGGATAATCGACCTTGTCCCTTTAGGGTTTTAGGAGCAGCAGGTAGGCATGTGTCTGCATGCAGGGGAGCCTTCTGTACAGGAAGCCTCCTTCCCTGCCTTCTCCCCACTGCCAAATCGTGGCCGTCCAACGGACAGTGTCTCAGGCCACCCTCCCAGCATTGGTCGCGCCAAAAATGCCAAGTTTGTGCGCTTTGCCGAGGAAAAGGCGGACCCTAACCCGTGTGACCAACATGGTCTCTGCGACCCTAACCCCTGCACATTGCGCAATCTGCCTCGGCCTGCTGCGGCCCTTACTGTTGAAGGGCCTCTCCTAGGAGATTCCTTGTCCGATGCGCTCCTTTATTTGTGTGATGTCAGCGCCCGACCCAAAGGGATTCTTTCAGCCTCCACGGCGGCGTCCAAGAAGCTCGCTAGAATGGCAGGCAAGCTTGTTGCCTTTGGAGATCCTGAATTGCAGGTTGCTTGCCGAGATGTTCATGCAACCTTGCTTGATGCGTGCAGACTGAGACGGCCACTCTCCCCCGCCCTAACCCGTGTCTGTCCCCACCAGCTTCCTGTACCAGCTGGTGGGCCCCGCATCTGCCCTAATCAGTGGGTTCAGGGCTATGTAATGGGAAGGCCTGTTAGCTCGTCTTCTACCGATTACAGACCGCAACAGGGCGTGTTCAGTGCCGGCGAACTTGACACCACGGCTGCCAACCTGCTCAGGCAATATAAGCGTGTGCTGCCTGCTCCGGCTCCCGGCCCGCCCGAAGAGTGTGGCCTGAAGCGCCGTTACTCGGCCTTTGATATTGTCAGGCAACTGATCAGGCCCCAGGCTGTTGGACCTACCGTCGGTTGCTGACTTTGCACAAACTACCCTTATTGACCTCTATGGACCCGGCGCCCTGGTTGATTTGGGCATTGCTAGTGGGGACTACACTGTCTATGCCTTTCGTCCGGCTGATCTGCCGGGGGGCCTTTCTTTTCTTGTGCATCGATCAGGCGGACTACGAGTGGGGGTCACCGTCGACCGCACCATGGAAACCTTCGGCCCTGAATACATCACCTCTCAGTCCCCTGGTCTTGCCGAGGCTGTTGGTAATATTGGCTTGGTTGCGGTGGATGGGGTTTCAGTTGAGGACCGTCCTAGCATTGAGCTTCCCACTGATTCTTTCACCGCTGCCTTTCTTGTGACCAATGCACAGCCTGAGGGTGAGCCCGAAGCTGAAGCCCCCTCATCCAGCGGGAGTCGCCCGCGCGACGGTACCAGTATGGTTGCCCTACCGTCTATCAGGCGCACTCCAAGAGGAGTCTCTCCTTCTGTCGCACGGTCTGTGGTTTCAGGGCCAGGCGTGATTGCCTGCACTAGTGTTGAGCCTATGCCTTCCTATGCAGGTGTCCCCAAATCTTTCGCGCCTAGGCCGCCTGTGCCGCCGATTCCTGAAACTTCGCCTGCCGAACCCCCCTCCGAGACCGCAGCTGGGCCCTCTGTGGGAGATAACGATCGGACGAGGGTGGCGCTTGACTCAGATGATGTAAGCCACTGCCGCTTCACTGTGTTTGATGTGCAGCGCCATGTCTCGCAGGATGAGGTGTTCGGGGACCACTCTGATGTTGTTTGCCTCCAGCAGGCCTTAGCTCACGCGCCTTTTCCATATCCTGGATGGGCCAGGGCGGTGAGGTACTGCCGCTGCCTGTCCCGCAGTTTGTCCTCTTGAGGCCTGGTACGCTCTGTACCA